GGGAAGGTAACACTATTCCGTGCGCCTTTGGCATTTAATCATGCCGGCCACATGACCGCGGAGACGTCTTCGGACAGCGCTGGCTCTTCGGCTTTGAAACGGAGATGATCATCACCCTCAAGAGTCTGGAATGACTAGCACATATGTGTGAGAGGAACATTTACCTTTACCTATGTACTAACTAGAGTTAACTACAGTTATGACTATGGAACCATCCAGGTCATCATTGGGACAAAGGTGCTTTTTCAAACTGGATTTTTCTTTGTTTTTTTCCTTGAAGACATTTCACTTCTCATCCAAGAACATCTTCAAGGAAAAACAAAGCAAAGTCCAGTTTGAAAAAGCATCTTTGGGACAAGCGTGACCTGGATGGCTGAGAATCTCCATAGACATAACTCTAGTTTACATACTGTGTGACAGACATATCTGATAAGATACCATTCTTTGCTCCCAGCTTTCTGGCAGTTGAATGAAAAATGAATACGTTTTTCTCTTAAACCAATAGTCGTGTTTTTTTTTAAATAACCAAATTATGTTGGATAGAGAATAAGTTGTGAAATTCTGATGCGGAGTCAGAGAATTATAGACTGCTAACAAAAAAAAGTGATGTGTTTGGAAAGTAGAAACGTTGGGGGAAAAAATTCAAGCTAACTCTGTCTTTACTTGGTTAGCTATTAATTGAAGTAGAGAGGAGGTTTGGTAAGTTTTCAGGCTTCTGTTGCAATACAACTTTCCACGATATCTGATAATTCCTATTTCCTTGTTTTATCTACTTATAAAAGGCTGACAAGAACCATACAGTGCAAATAATAAATTTGAGGTAAATAAAAACAACCAGTAAGGTGTTAGAATGCAAAAGCAGAATTTATCACTTTAATTTGTTTTGCAATTTCAGATACGTATCGAGAATAGAATGTTAATGGGCAGGTGGCCATTTTTTGTCAGCCTTCTGGGCATGGTAGAAAAGAACAGACTGAGGAAGATTGGATGAAAATGTAAAAAAAAATTATAAAATAGTTTCACTGTCTGGCGCCTGGGTAAATATATAAAGATGGTAATTTGCTTGCGTATCTCACAAAACTGCAAATGCCTTTTAAATGTTTGGGTAATTTATAACTGCATCTACCAGTGTTTATAGTGAATCTGTAATAGCAGCCTTTTCTCTAGCTATATGAATGACCTTTTAAAGCACAATAGTAATCCAATAATTCTTTTCAATTTACTGCTACCAATATTTGCAATATTTTCTAAATAAAATTTGTTCTAATATTAAAAATGAAAGACACCGACAACTAGGAAGACGAGTATGTTCTAGAGTCCAAGTACTGAATCTGTTTTATTTCTGAGTTAAAGATAACCCACTGCAATCTTATTTTGTACGTTTTAAAGTAAAAAATACAAAACATACAAATCAACCCCTTGTATATTTTATTAGTATCAGAAAATCCATGAGAGCAATTAAAAGACCCCTGCTTACCCAACTTTGGAATAATGTGGGTAGATGTTCCCCATTCCATCTAGGTGAAGTGGATTCTGGTTCCACCACAAATGCGCGTATGACAAAAGCGCGTGTGACTAAAGCGCGGTGACAAAACCGCGCTGTCAAAAACACGGAGACGAATGAGCGCTGAAGCNAGCTGATCGATAGAACTGCTACTCCTCCTACTTCTCCTGTATTCAATATTGTCCTAATAATAAGGAAGCGGAACCTTAGATATTTTGAAAACATAATGAGAAAGCAAGAATAACTGAAGAATATCTGTTACTTTAGAAAAACTAAAAGTAATGTGAAAAGAATCTAGCAGAACATTTTTCTCTCCCAGAAAAATGAAATATCCTAGGAAATATTGAAAAGGCAGACTATTTCTCTGGATGTGAAAAGTAAGAAACATGTTTGAAAAGACAGAATACCTGCCTGCAGCTTCCTGCCCATCCTCCTTTGTCAATGAGCCATTAAGAAGGCCAAGCTAGTCCACTTTACATAATAAAGTGTTTCTCCCCTTCAGCTCCAGAGTGAAGGGATTAAGGCATGATGATATTGACCCTTTACCCAACTCGCCAAATGGCATCTGAGAACTCAACCAAACCTGGATTCAAAACGCAGCCTAGAGAGTTGCCCCTGCATGGGCCCATGGGAGTCTGACAACCAATCAGAATACAAGATCAAAATCAAAGGCCAGAGAGGGCATAAAACCAGGGACTTTCAGCATGTCACCCCTTCCTTCTTCTCCACCCAACATTGAAGTATGCGATCACCTTTTCTGTTTAGGACTCAAGCCATGTGGTCCTGTCCACCATTAAAACCATCTTTCCAAGCAGCCTCCAAGTCTCCAGTGTCTTTTTCCCCACTTGGAACCGAACCCAGAAGGACACTTCTTCCAATACATGCATGAATGCATACATACATACATACATATATACATACATACATACATATATAATGTAAAAACCCAAGGAAAACAGATTTATATATGCATTGTTCTGCAAAGATCAGCAGCTGTTATATTTTATGGTTTGTTTTCCACTCAATTTAGCAGGAAAATAAAAAAAAATGCACACAAGAAGGTATGTGGGATTGGATCTGAAATAAAATTCCATGAAAAATAACAAAGAAAAAAGTTTCCAGCCACCCAGTTCTATACAATGTGTTCAGTTGATTACTTTATTAATATGATTATTAGTAAAGTGTAAGCCATCTTGTCGAGTAGGGCTCTTCTAATATGGGAATTGGCTTTATCGGAGATGTCAAAGCATATGATAACAACACCCCCCCCCCCAATCCAGACAACCTTTTGGTTTTTAGTTCCAGTACATCCAAAGAATTTCTGACACTGGTTGGGTGTTTATGCAAAGAGGAAAAACAAATGTGGGGAATATACTGCCTCCCCCACTTTTTCAAATGAATCCATTATATACTTTCTATTATTAGGAATGATGCTGATAAATTCCTGTCAGTAAATTGACCCATTTGTTCAGATTGCTCAGGGTTGTATAAAGTGTAGTTCTTGGTTTGAAAGTCTTCTCTGTAAATTCATCTTTGATATAGAGGTTTGTTTGTTTATTATCCCTCCTTTATATTATTTGTATAAATAACCCAATGCAGTGAGCATAAGGAGTGGGCTTCAAAAATTTCAGCAATGAGTTCTCTGCTGGGTGGCCGTGGGCGTGGCCTAGTAGGCCTTCTGCACCAGGGTGTGTGTGTGGGGGGGGGGGCGCCTCTGGAAGGGGGAAAACTTCCTCCCACAGGCTCTGTAGGCCTTCTAGGGACTGGACATGGGCCCATTTCCAGCCTTCTGGAACTTCCAGGAAGCCCATTTTTCTCCCTCCTCAAGCCTCCGCATGGGCCCTGCACTTACCTTGCATCCAAAACAGGATGCGTGGAGACTTCTGGGAGGGGTGGGATGGGGATGGGAGAGGTGGGCAGAGCCAGCCAGGGGTGGGATTTGGAGGTTCTCTGAACCACCATAACGTTAGCTACAGGTTCTCCCAAACCTGGGCGAATCCGTAGCAGCCCACCCCTGAACATAACTATTACTTCTTCCTTTTCCTACTTTTTTCTACAACAACCCTGTGAGGTGAAGTAAATTGGGCTAAGAGAAAGAAACTGGCCCAAAGTCACCCAGTGAGCTTTCATTCTAAGGCAGGGGTAGAATTCATAGTCTCCTGGTTTCTACCTTGGTGCCTTAACCTCTAGGTCAAAAAGCAATCTTGATATGGATTTTAGGTAAAGAACCCTAGGAGAGAGAGAGAGAGAGAAAGGAAGATCTTGAAGTTGACATCAAGAATGAGTAGACCTAGCAACAAACACATCAGTACCCTGGTCCCAGCCTTCTCTGCTCCACAGAGATGCATAGAATTGCATTCACAATGTGTTTGCATGTGTGTTTGTGCGTGCGTGCGTGCATAGCCATTGATCACACAACAGTGACTCGACAGCATACAAGGATACAGGATCCAATCTGGGTTGGTCACCAAGACCAGAGGTTTCATCTTCTGAGCTTTCGGAGTCATGCTGGAGCTCATCCTCGGGGAACTTTTCTCTTGCAGAGTGAATGCTTTGGGATGTGGGTGGTATTATAAAATGCCTGGTTGTGTATGACTTTTTTGTTGTTGTTAGGGGTGTTGATGGCCATCTATTAAGTCATTGGCTGTTGTTTCCTTGTGTTGCCAAGCCCTTGCCTCCTAAGTATTTGATAAGCTGGTGGTAAATTAGCACTCCTGTTGACTGACAGGTTTCAATCACTTTTCTGGCTATTTTTGTGCTTGCTCGTCCAACAAACTTGATGGCTTCGAAACTGAATGTATGTCCTTGTTCATTGCAATTGAAGCTACCAATGAATTTGGGTCTCCTCGTCTGACGGTTCGCTTGTGTTCTTGCAATCTGGTGGTTAGCTTCCTCCCCATCTGTCCTACATTGTCACAAGGGCAATTCATGCATGGAATTCAAAAGGTTACTTTGGAAGTATTGGAGTCTGATCCTGGTCCTGGTAACCAACCCGAATTGGATCCTGCAACATTATCCTGGGGCAAGTACAGCGGTGGATTGCTCCCAGTTCGGCCCGGATCAGCAATGACGCGATGGCCCACCCGCCATGTACAGAATTCTGCATGTGCAGCAGCGTCGCGCACACGCAAGAGCATGCAAGAGCGAACCGGTAGTAAAAAATTTGGAAACCCACCACTGGGCACATGCATTCACCTTCATTCATACAAGGATACAACTCTGGGCAGACAGACAGATATTGCATACAGCCCAAGGATAAACATGGGAAAATGTCAGTAATATTTTTTATAATATTTTTACGGAAAAAGGGGGCAACTCATACAGGTTGGGGGCAACACAACTCATACAGGTTGTGTTGATTAAAAGGATAACAACTGTGGCATATTCAAAGATTTTTTTTAAAAAAAAATGAATACTAGCTAGCAAACTAGAGGTTAAATTGAGATGGATTTGAATATCATATCTGGCCACATGTTTTCCATTAGTTATCAGTCCTCGTGTACAATGCTGTGGTCAATTTGTCCCAAGGTTATGGAGTATTTCTTCACGTGGGCTTATGTGGTTTGGGATTTCTACAGGACCTCTCCTACAAGGATCGTCACTGGCATGAAACCTGCTTCCATTGCTTCCAGTGCAAGAACTCCTTGGTGGACAAACCTTTTGCTGCGAAGGAAGAGCACCTCCTGTGTACCGAATGTTATTCAAATGAATACTCCTCCAAGTGTAGTGAGTGCAAAAAGACCATCATGCCAGGTTAGACCTTGTCCACTCTGGAGACACAATGGGGCTGTTGTGAAATACTTTCTAAAACCAGAGGAAGATATTTTTTTTTTTGCTAGATGCTTTATCAAGACTTTTATTTGCCTTCCAATGGTCTGGTAGAAATGTGTTCTTCAGCCAGCACAGAACATTTTTATGCAGGGCAGTCAAGCTGAGATAGGTGATGGGGGGGGGGGGGAGAGGCAGCTGCACTGGATGTCTTTTGAAAGGCCAAGAACCACAGTGGTAGGCTGATGGTGCAGAGAAGGCACAGTCGCAACATATACTATATATTGTAGGTACAATCGGAAAGTTTTTCTGTTTCTTTTTACAGAGTTAGGGTTTCTAACTAGTTCTACATTATCCTCCTTTTAGTCTTCCTTAAGCTTTCTTATAAACCAATATTGCCATATTGCTATTACAAAAAAAGGATGAATAATGAAGGGCGAAACAATTTTTCATGTTTGTTCATTTTAAAAGGGAATTTTATAGATCCTTTTCTGTACGACCTGAAATGATCTTCCTCCAATAAAAATCAGTTCCTGTCCCCTCAAAAAGAAGCAAAAATCCCAAGATTTTAACAGCTGTGTTTCAACCAACCGTGATTGGCGACCAACCATATGCCCTAGCTCCATTGTGTGAACTCATTAAATAACCCTCTTTGGTGTCAGTTAGAAATGCTACTCTACAATGCGCAGGATTGCCATTTCCAGACTGCAATAACACACACAGCCACCAAACCTCTTATATCTTTTCCTGCCATCTAGTGGCCACTTGTGTTAGCAATATCTGTTGTGGTGTCTCTGAAGGACATCAAATTAGAGAAGATTATTGTCCAGAGGGCTTATTTTTAGCACTCATGATCTGAGAAATTAAAGATTGTAGGGTGCCATTATTCCTGACTAATTTTTGGCAACCTGCCCAGATTCTTCTCTTTTACTAACTGGAAAATGGAAAAGGTAGAAATGAAACATGGAATCTCTTTCTTTTTGGTTCTATAACAACTTAAAGGGTGGTCCTGCATTTATTCTTCTCATAGGGACACGGAAGATGGAATATAAGGGAAGCAGTTGGCATGAGACCTGTTTTATCTGTCATCGGTGCCAACAGCCCATTGGAACAAAGAGTTTTATTCCCAAGGACAATCAGAATTTCTGTGTGCCCTGCTATGAGAAGCAGTTTGCTATGCAATGTGTACAGTGCAAGAAGGTAAAATTTATTATGCTATGAAATGTTATGCTCCAAAATAGGTACTTTGTCTGCTTCTCCTCCTTATCCAAGCCAATTGTTCCAGGCTATTATCCTACCATAACTTGCCCTTTCTTTTGTTAAATCTGATACTGAAAGATAAATAGATCTAAAATAAAACCTTTCTTATCAATGACATAATTTTGAAAGAGAAATCAGACCAGAGCAAGGAACAGGGAGAAAACTCAGCCTTTGCTATGCTCTTTCAGTTATTCATTACAACTAGAGTACAGAGCAGTATTTTTCAACCTTGGTAACTTTAATTTGGATGAATTTCAACCCAGAATTCCCTAGCCAGCATGTCCACCAGTTTTGGAACTTGAAATCCACACCAGGGATGGGTTGCTGCCAGTTTTACTACCAGTTCGCAACCCGCGTGCATGCGCAAATAATATACAGTGAATTGTGCATGCTAGTCACTAAAAACCAAAATGGTGGCAGCCCAGCAGTGGCGGGGAACCTGTTCGGGGTGTGGCAGGCCTGGATTGCTGCCAGTTCTGCGACCCAGGCCTGAACTCCACTACCAGTTCAGCCAAACTGGGCCGAACCAGGAGCAACCCACCTCTGGTCCACAGAGACTCAAGAACAGTGAGAAACCATCTATCTTGAGGCTTCTTGAGGCAACACTGTTGCTGCAACTGTGCTCCTGCTTGCATCTAACTATAATACACTCATGTGGTTGCAATATCCTGTCTCCATTATGTCTTTATCTTGCCTTCAGCCTCTAAACCTTAAGTTGTCTTGGGCTGAATTAGGGGTGTCAAACTCAATTTCATTGAGGGCCGCATCAGAGTTGTGTTTGATCTCGGGGGCACAGGGTGTGTGGCCAGGGTGGGCATGCCCAGCTTGATGTCACTCTTGTCAGGGGCCCTGTGGTGGCCTGAGTATTCTGCAAGCAAAAAGAGGCGCCCAAACTCCATTTTTGGCTTCAACAGCCTCCAGCAACCCTCTGCCAGCGAAACCAGACCTCAGGAAGGCTGTGAGCAGCCCCCCCGAATCCCATTTTCGCTGGCAGAGGCACTGGGGGTGGGTCCTTCGCTGTCTCCAGGGCAGCCCCACACGCCAAATCTAAGCACCTCAGGGGCCGGTTCCAGCCCATGGGCCTTGAGTTTGACACCCCTGGGCTAGATTATAGTTCAAGTAAGTAGGATTTTCTTCTTATTACTATGACATCTGGTTAGCTTTAGAGTATATAAAATCTGCTGAGTTTTGCCCTATCTTGTTACAGTGAGAGGAATTCAGATGCCTTGGACTGAAAGTCAGTGGTGATAGGTGGGGATCAATGACAAGGATGGCAAATTTCTTGCTAGAAAACTTTTTATGACTACTCAGGAATTGGTACAGAATAATATAATTTGATAGTAGGGAAAAGACACCACTTTCTCTGAGTCAATTGATAAAGAGAAAGTCAAATCTGATACTTGAAATCTGGTTCAGGATAATTATTAAAATGCATAGTTATTGAAGCAGCTTAGAACTTCAAACCAACAGCCATGAACCTTTCCATGAACGCTACATCTACATTATGGTCTTAGGACACTATTACAATATGATCCACAGAGAAAATTAGAGTTTCAGTGGCAAAATGTTTATAGGACTCTTTGAGGAAGATCATGTTTCTGTCCAAATTCTACAGATCTATTGCTATTCCAGTATACAGTCCAGAATATTATTTGATTCTTTTGTTAAACAAGGATACAAAGTCAGTGCTGATCTTTCTCAGTCACCCGCTATTACATTTAATAGAATCATTCAATCTGACTAAGGCACAAGTCCACAAATTCTTGAGCCCATTGACCTTCTCATGAAGTTTCAGATTATTTATTGAAACCCCCTCTCCCAACATTTATTACATGAAAATAATTTAAGAAATACTATTTTAATAGAACTATGAATAACAACAACAATCATTAGCTCCATCAAGCTTTGAGGGTCAATACTGATTCCTTTGGAGAAGTCTGTTGGCTTGGAAACTTGGTTTGGGAATAAAAATTACCTTGGGGAGAAAATGGAAAGCGTAACACACATATATGTGCAGTGGTGGAATTCGAATCGTTTAACAACCTGTTCTCTGCCCTAATGACTGGCTGGGTAGGTGTGTCTGGGTGGTCATGTGACTGTATGGGCATGGCCAACATGACATCACTCAAGTCGAGGGGTACCTCTCCTCACTCAGCCTCTCCTTGCCACGCCCGGCCATGCCTCACCCCTCCCCTTCCAGCCACTCCTTGTTATGCCCAGCTACTGGCCCTGCTGCCTAGCCGGGCAAGCAGCCAGGTGGCTGGGTGAGCAGCCAGGCAGCGAGGGGAGGAGTGGCTGGGAGGGGAGGGGGATGGTGGAGCCAGGCATGGGGAGGCACACTAAACTGCACAGAAAGTTAGCTACCGGTTCTACCAAACCTGTACGAACTGGCTGAATCCCACCACTGTAATATGTGTATGTTTTGGGGAGAGGGAAGATGTTGCCTTCTTGTGCTTCTAGCCTTGAAAATGTCCCTTGAATAGAAATCTATGGATTAGCTGTACATTGGACAATATCGTAATTTAAAATATTAGGAGCTACTGCTCAAGATTACTTTGCTCTTCCTTTCCAAATCATTTACATTTTATTAAAGAACATGAATGACATATAGTAAATAAAAATGAATTCTTCCCTTTCTTTCTTCCCTCTGATTTCTATTTTAAATAAACAGCCAATAACTACTGGAGGAATTACTTACCGAGAGCAGCCATGGCACAAAGAGTGTTTTGTGTGTACTGGATGCAAAAAACAGCTCTCTGGACAACGTTTCACTTCCCGAGATGAGTTTGCATATTGTCTGAACTGCTTTTGTAGCCTCTATGCCAAGAAGTGTGCAGGATGCACTAACCCAATAAGTGGTAGGTACTTTGCTATTGCCTTTATCTTTTAGACACAATCTTTCTATAAAGGCAGACAGTATAAAAATTAACTTCTGGGTCCATCGTTCAAAAATATCCTTAAGTTAGTATGCCCAACGTTAAAATATTTTGCTTCATGCTAGAATTGCAAATTGAGTTTGTATCCTTTTGCTTTTGATTGTAAACTTTAATTGCTTCTAGTTCCCTTAGGCATCCAATTTTTTTTAATTGTTTTTTTTTTAAGCGAAACACAGGTATTTTCCCATAAAGGTTTTTTGTGTGTGTGTAATTAATTCCAAAAGGATTGAAGGAAACACGTTGATCCAAATGTTCCTAATAGCTGGAGAGCAATTAACAAGTAATTTTTAAAATTTAAAAATGTGATATGGAAGTATGCAAACTAAAAGGTGCCAACCGCAGTTTGAGTAATCTGTCTATTCCTTTGTCTCCCAGAGCTCTAAATCTGGTGCAGGTTGCTGTCATGAATTCTTCTCATGATAAAGAACTGTCTTAGACTCAATTTCATTGAGGGTCGCATCAGGGCTGTGGTTGACCTCGGAGGAGGGGGAATCTGGGGGAGGGATGGCCAACTGGGTGGGCATGGACAGTTTGATGCTACTCACTGGGTGTGGCTGACTGGATGGGCATGGCCAGCTTGACACCTCTCCCCAAACTGCTGCCATGTTTCCTCTTCGCATTGGGTAGACTGGGCCAAAGCTATGCAGGTCAGCCCCATACGTTTTCCAGAATGGCCCTGCGGGCCAGATTCGACCATATCATGGGCCAGATCCAGCCCGGGGCCCTTGTGTTTGATACCCCTGGTCTACAGCAACTATGGACAATCTCAAGTCCTCTCTTATCTAGAGAATTATTGAATATCCAGTCTACTTACTTGGCTATTCATTCCAATGCGGTCATTGGCTTTGCTTTTTGGAGTCATCTTCAGTCTGCTATTTCCTCCTTGAAAGTCATGGTCAACATATCTGGGGGAAATTAGGTCAGAAAAGGTTGCTTCATAACCCAAGATCCAGTTCTTCACACTGATGTGCCTCACTTTTTTTTTTGTCATGCCATCTTTTTTCAGGGCTTGGTGGCACCAAGTATATTTCTTTTGAGGAACGGCAATGGCACAATGATTGTTTCAACTGCAAGAAATGTTCCCTATCGTTGGTGGGCCGTGGTTTCCTCACAGAAAGAGATGACATCCTATGTCCTGAATGCGGGAAAGACATTTAAAAAGATAAAAAGCATTTTTGGGAAAAAAATGTATTTACGATACATGTTTTCTAACATACATAATGATGTGCATGAGTTTTGATCAAAAGTGCAGAAAGTAATCATTCCCCCCCCCCCCCCCCCCAGCAATAGTTAACACTAGCTGTTTTTGGGTGCTATGCCTCAACACAATATACTTATACAAAGGAAACAGAGCCATGATTGCTGGTCACATCTGCAGTTTTATTGTAGATTAGAGCTCATCTTTCAGACCTCAGCCTCCCTTTATAGAGCAGATTTGAGAGCTTCTACTCAAGTTTGAACAATTAGGTGGTAGAATCTAGCCAACATCAGCTGATCTTGAAAAGCTAAGCTAGTTTAGATTTAATATTTGGACAGGAAACTACCCAAAATTCTAAGGCTGTGTATTTGACAGAATTAAAAAAAAATCTTGAAGGAAGGTGGTGGCAAGCCACTTTGGCATTGAGAAGAAAAAATCATCTCCATTCAGTCACCAAGGAATTGAACTCATTTGAAAGAGACTTTTTTTACTCACATTCACTTAAAAGCAAGTAAAAATATCACTAGAATATATTCCAGATGTTACGGAGCAATTAAACAGAGTTTCAAATTGTGCAGAGGTCTTACTGAGCTCAACTGAGAGATTGGAAATAAAAAGGTTTGGTCTGGATGATGGAGCCTGGCTAACGGAGAACTTGTGTAGGCATTCTATCTGGGTTTTCTCTCTTTTTAGACTGTAGAAACGTATCCGAGTAGATATAACAGAGAAAAGGTAACTTTTTTTAAATATCAGTTATCAAGCAATACTTCTCATTGCTAAATGCAAAACGACCAATACAAAATTTGGGTGAGTTAGATGATATCACTATAATTTTCTCTTTGTCAGATAAAATTAAGATTTTCTGAAGAATTACAATTGCCACCGATTGTGTTGGTGGAGGAAGAATCAATATTTAAATTTCCCAGTTCACAAATGTATAGATTATAATAATGTAGGTTAATTTAGGTACATATCAGTAATACTATATTTATGCCATACCTTAAAAAGATTTATTAAAGAATGTGATTTTCTTCATCAGCATTCGGAGCTGTTCCCATTTCCAAACACATGAACTGGTTTCCAAATAAATGCCCAAGTTTGGTGGATGCAAATATACAAAACATTATTTCAGGAATTTGCAAGATTATTACACAAAGTACAGTTTTTATTCCTAACAGTTTTTTTAAATTTCATTGCACCTTAGAAATTGCAAAGTAATAAATGTATTTCTAGCAAAGTGTTGTATTTTTGTGAATTTGGACATTTTAATAAATGTTAACCATTAAGATGTTTGTTTGTTTGTTTATTGGATTTATATGACACCCTTCTCCCAAAGGACTCAGAGTGGCGTACAACATAAAAAAAACACATATTACAAAAGTTAAAGAGGAAATTAAATAAAGTATCCCAAAACAAACCCACTTAACAATAAAAATTTAAAAATTAGATTAAAATTAACAATTAAATTAATCATTTATTTTATTCTGTTCAGGCCAGGCCGGCTTTCTGCAAAAGCCAACATTTTAGGGTGCGTCGGAAGGACCGGAGATAAAGCTTGAGCAGACTCCTTCTCTTTAAAAATATGAATCTACATAAAAAGAGGAACTGTTGATTTGTAAAAGAAGCCAATTTTCAAAAACCAATATAAAATCAAAGCATTTTATATTGGTTTTACCATTACAAACTGTCTCATAAAATATGGGATATGGTTAACTACTTCATATGGAGGTAACAAATTGTCCTAATTTCCTGAAATAGACCATAATGCAGATTTACATTCCATTCCATTTCTTGTGCTGTTGTAGTTGTGACAATGCATATTTGCTGCATTTCCTTATTTGTGTAGACTTTGATCACAACAGCTGTTCATCTACAGGTGATTCACTGTGTAATCTCTTTACAAATCTACTCAGTTAATGTTTTACTGAGAAATACTCATCAATAAATAAATGGGAATCCTTGATAAGTGCATTAAAAATACAGCTGAACGGGAGTATTAGGCTTCATCTCTCTGGACGCCAGGTTATTTCACAGGTTAAATCTCTTTCCCAACTCAGGAAGAATTTACTTTCCCTTGAGAGCTGCACTAAGCCCACACAATTATGATTGGCAGCTGCCAACATGGCCATAATTCAAGGCAATTGGAGATAGATGGATTACAGCATATCTCTGAACCACACTGTTCCAAGACTCTGGTCAGTTGACTAAGAACAAATAGTACAATTAGAACAATACAGAAAAACTCCCAAGTATCTTTATAAAAAAAAACCACCAGAGCAACATTTTCACTATCACTCTTAAAATAGAGCGGATAATGGCCAGTAAACGCTTTTGTTTCTATGCTTTCATATTTTGATCTCATGAGGATGCCCAAATTCAGTGTGGTGGCTACATGAAATCACATTTCTGAGAAAACCACTATCCATTGTTGCAACATAACCCTTGATAGCTCAGTTTCAGGACAGAGACTGCTATACAGTACATTTATTTCATAGCAGGTGTTACCAACAATACGTTTGGGCTTCAATTAAAATGACAAAAATTAGTTCATGTTGTTTTTAAGGACTGTTTACTGAATAATCCCACTTGGCTTACCATCTCAATTCTATTCTAAAAGCTTCTCAAAAATGATCAGTCACTTTCTTTGAAATTATTTGCACGTTTAAAAACATGTGAAAATATTAATAACTCAAATCTTTGTATCAGCTCTTGCCCTTTCCTTGGGATATCTTTAAGGTTGCTTCACCAGACAGTCATTCACTGAAAGTGACATGTGAACAAAACCTTTGGAATCTAAAATCTATGTCTTTCTATCACCTCTATGACAGGAACACAATTATTGTGTTATTTTATTTTTAATACTAACATTTGTTGACCATATAGGAAGTTATCTTTTATGGTCTTTGTAAGAATAATTATTTTTTTACTTGAATCTACAATCTACAGCTGCTAGTTTGGAATATATACTGCAATTCCTAAAAATGGAGAACACACCTAGATTATTATTTTTTTAAACGAATTACAAACCCTTATACATGTACTGACCAAAGCTGCATTTCAAAGGATAATAAAATCAAGCTATGATCAAAAGTGCTAAATTAAAAAAAATCAAGTTATTTACAGCACAAAGTAAAGCTACTGTATGCCAGTTCTAAAGACTATTTAAATGTTTCCAGTGTTGCAAAAGTCCTGTTACGTGTAGCTTAATCCACCAATGCTGGCACAGATGTTTAATTCTATTATACAAAAAACCTCAGTTGAATCAGCCTAACAAGTAAGATAAAATTATAGCATAAAGATGATCTAAACAAGAGATCACACTTAAATTAATTTAATTTAGATGAGCTAATAAAAGGACAGCAATTCAAATACAAAAACACAAAATTAAATTGTATACAGTACTCAAGTAGAAAACTTGTACAATTGTTTGAATTCAACTACACTTCAATACACCATTCTTTATATTCTGAAGTGCTCTGTGATGTTTTAGGGCACAATGGATGCAATGGAAATTATGTCACTTAATGCAATCAGAGTCAATAGTTAAACATAAGTTAAATAAAATTTACTATGAAACAGTAGCATATAGGACTGTGGGCTAAATCTTATAAATGTTCAGAAGTGAGGTCTTTTATCTACCACTGATAACACAACTCAGTGTGGTAATTGGTTTTTTTCTTCCCAAAAACGAGCAATTTTTACAACAATTATATCTCATTTTACTTCTGTTTTGTGTTCATTGTGAAGAAGCTGCTAAAATTTTAAAGTTTTGAAACTAAATTATCTGTATCACTAAGATGCTTCCAGCTTCTTCAGAGCCTTTAACTAATGCAATTTCATTAATGATGTACAACTACATTGCGCATACAAATGTGATTCTAATATTTTTAAACCCCGGGATGTTTTTTTTACCTCGTATAAGAAAAAAATACAATAAGTTTCAAACAATTTATTCACAGACAAAACTTTCATCCCTGCAAACTTCCACTTAGTTCATCTCTTTTCTAGCTGCATAAATAAATAGAGCAAGCATTATTTTCCATCTCAATTTTGTCAGGCATTATTTAATTGTAGTTAAATAAGCTTTCCTTAAAAATGCTAGTATAAAACACGAATCACATACTGTATAAAAATGCAGTTCTGCTTCACACAGTTTTTTTTCCCAACACACAATCTTGAGGGTAGGGGCTTCTGACTATGTATCTCTAAAGACAAGAGAAATCCATTTGATCTTCCATTTTAGCAAAAACTTCAATTTGAAGCAAAACCAGTATAGAGAGTTCAGGATTTCACATAAAGAAAACTGGAAAGGACCCAAATAGTTTCTCAAAAAATAATATTGGCACCTAAAAATGAGAAATTGTTTTTCTGGGCCTTTCAACAGAACTATTATGTGGAAATATCCTAGTAAAATCAGCAGAATAGGGAAACAGTCTTCCATACTATTTAAATATATAGTATGTGTTAAAAAATATACTATTGTACAACTGAATAGAATAGTTAGAAACTTTCTATATCAAATCATGCAAAGACTTGATGGATAGACTAGAGTTAAAAATGTAGAAGAAAGGCTGGTAAAACAATTTTGTTCTACCAAAATTAACTTCTAAAATGGGGAGTAAATTCAAAGTGCAAGATAAAGATTCTCAGGTTGATGGTGAACATGTAGTGCTTTCTTTATACCATGAAGTTCTAAGCAACTACCACTGCAATCTGCATCTCTGGTTAGTACAATTCTTCTGTCCTGAAATGAAGACTCAGCATCATTTGCATTTCTAACTCTCATGGGTTCATGGCCATGTTACATGCTGGATCTTCTTTTTTGCTTCAGGAGGCTTCTGGAGGGAGAAAAGAATTAGATTGTTTAAGGAGACATGTTAAAGCATCCAGAACTTGATTTCGGTTTCCATCTAGTGGTTAAAACAAAGGTGTTTTGAAATCTTTAAAAAGGACTTCAATTTTCCATATTAGGTTCTTGTCTGGACGAATGAAGGAAATATTAGTATGTATCCCAAATTAATTGAAGGATGTTTATCATTACTATTTATTGTCTCTTACTCCCTGCACTCATCTGTATCTTCCACAATGTCCAGTGATGCAATAACAAGTGTGGGTGGCAAGTTATGGGCATAGGCCCATAACTCTCTAGAACAGGCCTGCCAAATTGGCGGCCCATGGGTCGGATGCGTCACATGCAGCCTGGCTCAGCAAAGACAAAAAAGTCATGATATGTCATGTGACGTGATAAAGAGTTTGACACCCGTGCTCTGGAACAAGAGGTCCCACTTAAGACGTGAAATGGGATCTCTTGGCACACTAATGTCTCCTTTCTTCAACAGGCTTCTTATTCTCCTCTATAAAACCTTCTCTGTAAACCTCTGTGCTCCATCCCACATAGTTCATAACTTGAGGCAGCACAGGAGGCAGACTCTCTGTAAATGTCCTTAAGCCAATGTGGTAGAACTACCAGCTGAAAGGGAGGGGACCCCTCTAGTGGAAGTAAAGAGACATTCCAGTTTAAAATCTGTTCCAGAAAGTAAACTTCTGAGGTCAAACCCTTAGGTTTATATCTGCATAGGTGACCAATAATAAAATACCTTGGGCCTATCCACAAGTGGGTCTGGTTGCTTGCACCTGACATCTAACATATTTTAAGATCCCAGAGAATCAGAATTTGGAACATGGGAAGGGAGAATACAGATTATCAATGTCCAAAAAAACCCTTGTTTTCTTAGAAAAGATTTTCAGAATAGACACACACACACAAAAACCAAAACCAAATGAAACTTGTGCCATTTCTAAAATAATTACTTTTACATCTCACACAGATTTTTGTAAAGCACTTTTAGGACAAAGCGTATTGCTTGTTTTGTGCCAACTGAGAATTATTTTTAACAATAATAAAACTCTATCAAGATAACACAACAACAACATGGTAATAATGAACAAAAGGCTTCTTGAACAAAATTAAGATAGGCAAAGGCTGGTGCAAGTTTGAATTCTGTTGTTAAAAATGGCAGATGCTAACTACCGAGACATTTACTGAGACAGCATTCAAGAATGACCTCATAAAATAGTCGATATACTTACTGATGAATCCAATTCTTCTTTTGGAGCAGCTCTCTTATATTTCACAGCAGTAGTTCCTGTAAGAGGCTCTAAAGCTGACGGCTTTTGACCAGGTGACATATTAACTACAATATTGTTCTTTTTACCCTCATTATTCCTAGATTCCCTCTTAACATCCAATGAGAAAGTGGAAGCAGATATGCACAATGTCGAATTTGAAGGAACAGGCAGTCTTTTACAAGTGATATTAGTACTTTCAGATGAAAGGAATTTTAAACCATCAGCGGCTCCATTCTCAGTCTTCCTCACTTTAATACTTGTACTTGTTGAGCTACCATCAAACACAATGAGAGGCCTTTTTCTTAGACTTTCCGTTGCCATAATGCTGAATAAGAAAAAGTGACATAAAAATTAATCATATATGTAACAAAAATTATTACAGTATTCCAAATAATATCTCATTTTAATAACTATTTGAAAGAGAGTCTAGTCAATTCCAATATAACTTTCCCCCATATGCATATTTAAATCAGGACTTTAGCTATTCAAACTGATGAAGAATTAATCTCACACAAATGGCAATGCTTTTCTACAGCCAGATGTGCATTAATTTCACAACTAATCCAGTCTAAGAATAAAGAACACACTAATCATTTCAAAACGTAATGAAGAACAGGACAAACCAAACTGAAATAATCCAAGTCTGTACATATGTTCTCCTAAGATTAATTCAAAGATGGACAATAATCTTGGACGAAGATTCCAGAGCCCAGTTAAATCCTTTGCCTCAGCACTGTCCACTTTTGATGTTTTTGCTTAGAAATTTGTCAAGATTCTACTTTTAGTTGGTGGTAATTCTTTTTAATGATGATTTGCACTGGTTTCACCAATTTCAGATAAGATGCTACAACTGGAGCAACAGGATGCTTAATGAAGTATAAATATATGTGGCATACCTCTTTTTGACTTAATTCCCTGGATGAAATTAGGTACTTGGGTTATGCATGAAATATATTATATACAGATAAATGAAAGCAGTTCAGTGCTAACCCTGTCTTGATCTCAATGCTAATTTATGACTGTTGACGTCCAATTTCTTTTCATAATAATGTGTAACTTTAATCTGCCAATACAGACAACAAAATTGTTTTATTTATCTGACAAAGAGTAGGTCAAAATAATCAAGGTTTCCGTTCTTCAATTGGCAGACTTTTTCTCAGATAAAGCTGAGAGAGTCTGAAGTCACAGAGAGCTACAATCAAAGAGTGTTGCTTAGCTGAGAGCTGTACAGATGCATTACCACCAGCTCTCCTGTGGAAAGTGGGCCTCAAGAACCAAATGAAAATCCTCCCCCCACTGAGGCCTGCTCAACTGGACTCATTCTTCCCTCTTGACCTACAGGGTAATGACCTTTTCTGCCCTTTGATGAGGAGTGCAGAAATGGGCTGTTAGTTATCAATTACTACTGTACTTTAATATACAATTGTTTTCTTACTTGAAAGCCGATTTGGGAGGATGCAAATAATAAATTTGGTACAGTGATTTAATATGCTGAACTGGAAAGCAGGAGGTTGTGAGTTCTAGGCCTCCTTTAGGAGTGAAAGCCACCTGGTGACTTTGGGGTAGACACTCCCTCACAGTCGAATCCACCTCTCAGGGTTCTTATTATGGGGAAATAGGACGCAGGAATATGAAGACTGTCACTGTTCTGAGTTACACAGAAAGAAAGCAGGACAAAAATCTAATAACAACAAATTAAAATGCAGGAAAAAATATTGTCTAATTCAAGATAAGTTGGTTTCCTGTTATGTCATAGACTTTTGAAAGATTTTGAAGAGAATCCAAGTACTGTAAGCAAAGCAAACTTACCTTTGGGTGCTATGTTTCAACACTTGCTGACCTCTTTGCTTTTCTATTTGTTTCCCCCATCTGGTTTTGGGCAAATCACGCTGAGGCAATGGTATAACATGTTGAATATACAAGTCAGTAAGGCAGTCTTTACTGGTTTTCACCTCATCTTCTACTGGGATATTTTTCTAAAGAAAAACAATAGAAATCATGTTATGAATACCATGTTTCCCCGAAAATCAACAGGGTCTTATATTTTTTTGACCCACGAAATATGGCTTTGGGCTTATAGAGGGGGAGGGCTTATTGTTTTGGGGTTGCCGGGTGGCTGCTCCCTTGCGAGCGGGCTCCCGAAGAGCCGGGCACAGCCTCAGGGGCAAAGCAGCCATGAGGTGACCATGCTCACGAGCAGCCACCTGGCAAACCCCCCCTCCAGCCAGGCAGAGCAGCATTCACTGACCTAGGGAGTATCCCTAAGGTGCCAAGCCATGTGGCGCTCTGCCTGCCCCCCAGCTCCCGCGGCTTGGCACCTTCGGGATACCCCCTAGGTAAGTGATTGGAGCTCTGCCCGGCTGGAGAGAGGGGTTGAACGAGAGCCTGCTCCGCCCCCAGCTCTCATGCCTCCCAGCCTCACCATGCCCTGGGCCAGCTGTCCTTGCAGATGCTGCTGAGCTCCGAGCAAAACTTCTCCAGCTTCCAAACTCCCAGAACTCGGCTTCCGATTCTTCCAGCAGTGGCTGCTCTAGGAGTGTGCTGTATGTTTATGGGCAGGCTGCCGGAAGACTTTGCCGCCCGGCAACTCCCCCCTCCAGCCAGTCAGAACATCACTCCCCAACTTAGCGGTATCCCAAAGATGCCAAGCAACGTGAGTGCCTTTCTTCCGTCTGCTCCCTCCCCCCACTCCTGCGGCTTGGTGCCTTTGGGATACCGCTAGGTTGGTGAGCGGTGCTCTGCCTCGCTGGAGGAGGGGGCTTATTTTCGGGGCTGGGGCTTATATTTTTGCCCACCTGAAAAATGTGGCAAGGCTTTAGTTTCAGGAGATGTTGTATTTTCGGGGAAACACGGTATTACAGTTCATAATGTGCTTGAAAGTAATTCTATGTGTAGCAATATACTTTGTACAATACAGCAGTTAGAAAATCACCAAAGGTTTGCTGGCATGCTTTTACAGTTCAGGGTTTCTTTTGTCACACAGAATGTACATTTTACTCCAGACCTACAAAAAACAGGAGGAGCCTATAATACTAGCTGGTTATCAAATATGATGGAAGGTCTCCCTAATATAAAAATTCTGGTTATTCCACCCATATACATCACTCTTCTAGGAGAAAGGTGGTAAATTTTACTAGATGGAACAAAAATGAAGCAAGAGAAGCTAGACATTTCCTTATTGTTAATGCTGCTGCTTAATGTATTGGGGGGAGGGGGGTGACACATCTCTTATGTGTCATGATAAATGTTATAGACTTGCAAGATAGGGTATCATGTTGATAACAGAGAAGATACAAGTAGTCCTTGCTTAACGGCCTTAATTGGGAGCCATCATTTCCTTTGCTAAGCAATACTGTTATTAAACAAAACACCCCATGATCATACTGCTTAATAATGGCAGTTTCAATAGTCCCGGTTCTCTTGCTCCTGCTCTTCTCACCTTTGCTTCCTCTCTCCCCACCTGCCTATCTTCTCCATCCACCATCCAGGAACACTGCTCTCTGCCATACTTGTGGCTCTGTACTCCTCTACTTCTGCCATTCCACCACATTTACTGCCCTGCACCTCCACTGCTCCCAGCTTTTCCATCTTCTACTTCCTCTCACTGCTGACAAGGTGCACTTTACCTGCCTGGCTCACCTTTTCTCACACCCTCTGCCTAGGCTCCGCTGTCCCCTTGTGTTCCACCAACCCTGGCTCCCTCGTTCACCTGGTGAAGGTTCATGCCACCTTGCAAGCAGCAGCAGCAGCAGGAGGAGGCAGAACATGGAGATCAACTGGAAGCAGTGGGAGTCGGCAAGATAAAGAGATTACTAGATAAACATTTTTTTAAGTGTATATGATTATAACAAGAGCTAAGTGGCTAAGATGCTGAGTTTGTTGATCAGAAAGGTTCACAGTTTGGCGGTTCAAATCCCTAGTGCCACGTAAGGGAGTGAGCTTACATTGCTTGTCCCAGCTTCTGCAGTTCGAAAGCACATAAAAATGCAAGTAGAAAAATAGGAACCATCTTTGGTGGGAAGGTAACAGTGTTCCATGTACCTTCGCCACATGACCACAGAGACATCTTGGGACAGCACTGGCTCTTTGGCTTTGAAATGGAGATGAAGACTGACCCCTAGAGTTGGGAACAACTAACACATATATTCGAGGGGAACCTTCACCTCTACTATGATTATAACGTTGCTTTGCAAAGAAAAATCCAAGGAAAAGCAATAAAGTTAAATTACTCCATTCTTATAATAATTAAAATAATTCTGAAATAAAGGAATGCCCTTTATAAAGGACGTGTGATCACCACACTTAGGGAGCGAACTTCTTCTATTGCCTGCGTTGCTACCAACAGCAAGGGAAGAATGCCAGTCTGCGGACTGGTCAGGAACGTCGCGAGAGTGTTAAAGCGGGACACGAGGCCAAGCCGCCTTCTCCCAGGGCGGTGGCAAAACCAAATATGCCCGGCAGAGACCCTGGAGGGTGGGTGCCAGGAACCTCGAGTCCAGCCCGTGCTTCCTCGCCGCCCCGCCTTTCCCTCCTCGCTACCTGCTCCAGTGTCAAGAGTAAGAATTCCTGGGAGAGCAGCTCCGGGTGCAACAGGAGGTCCGAGTCCACCCGCGCCCCGTCGCCGCTTCCATCCTTCGCTGAGAGCTTGCGGTCCCCGAAAGCCGCCATCTTTCCAAACGCAATCCTGATTGGCCGCCTGAGCATTCTTTCCAAAGGTTCCTTCCGGTGACGCAAGGCGAAGCGACGTTCAGAAGTGCCGCGGAGGTACGGAAATGTAGAGTGAAAGGTGTCCGTTTCCGGGCTCCCGTTGTCAAAGAACGAACGAAAAAACGAAAAGGGGAGTTTCAGCGTAGCCGCCGTTGAGGCAAATCCCAGGAAAAATGCAGAATTCTTCAATTTTCTACTTTCTCTGTTTGATCCAATAAATGAAACTTGAATTTCCTATGTGAATAATAAGTCAATGCCTGGAATGCACTACCTGACTCTGTTGTTACATCCTCAAACCCCCCCCCCAATAGTTTTAACCTAAGACTGTCTACTGTTGATCTCACCCCATTCCTAAGATGAATGCATAAGCGCACCAGCGTGCCTACGTCCCTGCCTTACTGTCTCCATTTATTCGTAGCAATTTACTGTATTATAGTTATATAGTTATAATTATACCCGTTATCTTTTACATGTTTGACTAAATAAAATAAGTAAATAAATAAAATACTCTAAGTTTTAAAATGAATCGGGGTTGGAAACTAGGCTAAGGGGTGACATAAGAGTCTTCCAATAATCAAGGGCTGTCACAGAGAAGCGGCGGTAGACCTATTCTCTAAAGCACCTGGATGGAAACTCGTTGAGAGATTCCATTAAGTACTATGGAGACATTTCCCGGTAGTGATAACAATTAACCAGTGGAACGGCTTGCCTCCAGAAGTTGTGGGTGCTCCGAACAGCAGTTGTCCGGAATGGTATAGAATTTCCTGCATGACAAGAAGTTGGGACTAGAAGACCTCCAGGGTCCCTCCCAACTCTGTTAACATTCATTAGCAGCGTTTCTCGAACTTTAAAATGCGTGGACTTCCAACTCCCAGAGTTCCTCAGCCAGTATGTGTTGAAGATACATAGAATTGCAAGTTTGAAAAAGACTGCTTTAACAACAGCCCTATCTAAAATTCAGGGGTATCCCATTACCTTTGCATTTCGGGAAGGGGCGGTGAAATCCATAACCAGCCCAGCAGGATTTTACGTTTTGAAGAAAAGGGATCAGCCCCCAGGCAATGAGGATCGGCCCAGGCGGCTTTATTCTCTGGTTACACAACGGTGCTGGCCTGAAAATGATTTATGATCACCCCGCAGGTAGTCCAAATCTGATAGTAAAGTACTGAAAAAGTTTTAAATGAGACACAACCTGAGATTTCCATCCAAACATGCACCCTATACACCGGCTTTCCAACTGCAACCGAGATCAGAGTACTTAAAATGTTTCCTTGCCCTTCCCTCCGTCACATCGAGTCGGGGGATCGGGACACCTTTCCTGACTAGCCCATTAAAAGGCACAAGTTTTCGTGAGCTGCAGCTTTTTTTTTTGCCTTGTAATGCAATGGGCTAATCGGAAAAGACGTTCTCAGGCTGCTTCTTTGTCACTACTCTAAAAGGACTCTCCTCTATAACGTCAATCACATTTAAAGTTCAGTTACAAAGCTTGTATGCGGGCATGCAAGCACGCTGAATTTGAAACGCCTTTGCGAAAAAAGTGAATTTTGACTTCCTGTTAAGCGCTTTGAGCGCCTCATTGTAGAGATTCCTTTTTAGCGGAAGAACTGAATTCTTTTTGACGACCTGCATATATCGACTCGCGAGCAGCCTCTCCCCCCCCCCCCCCCTTATGATGCAGCGTGGGAATAATCCCGCATATTACTATTTGCCAGCAACTAAATATTGGATGTCTACGTTATTTTGTTCAAGTCGCTCGCCTGGTCACGGCAGCAGATCTCGGGAAGCGATCGGGAGATCTCCGTAGCCCTTGGGGAAGGAGGCGCTAGGAGATCCCGGGAGCAGGTAATCCAATTTTTCTGGACAAAACCCATCGTCCCAGTTGCCAAAGTAGTTATATGAAGGACATCAAAAAGCCGTCTTTCCGCCTCCCGCTTGTTACAACACGAAGGGGAAATGTTGATAACATATTTTGTGCTATTCTTCATTTTTTGTATCTTTGGCAAGGAACAGACTTGGAAGATGCGCATCTAAATGACGAAAGAGAGAATTAGGAAGAACTTTAAAAGAAGCAACTCCCCCCTCCCCCACCTTCTAAACATCCGGGTTAGAAAGGTCGTGGGTGCAAATTTAGAGTTTTGACCCAAATCCTTTTTTAATTAAAAGTTATGAATTATATTTACTCCCGTATTTTGAAATGCTTATATATTTCAGCTTGAATATGGACGAATGACTATGGAGAACAAGGAGAGTTATCTATAGAGAATTATTAAAAATAATCTTATTGGCTAACGTGGATTTTGCTAATAGAAAGTTTGTGTGTATGTGGTCAGCTAGCTATAGATATTTCTTGTAACATTCTATAACTATTAGCAATGCATTTTACATTTTCAGATGCAAATTATCAAGATTTTTTTTAAAAAAACTAATGAACTGAAACAATTGTATAATGTCCCTGTAGACAGCTACTACAAGCTACACTGATGGTGTAAGTGGCAAAGTGCCCTGTGATGACACATCTGAGCCTTTCAATGCAATCTCAGATAATTGTGTATGAATTCTAAAATAAGCTCCATTGTGTTTCTTAAATAAATGCCAACTTGATTCTAAATGTGTTAAAATACCACTCCTGAAATTTTATTGGGCTATGCTAGCTAGAAATTATGGATGGGTGTACTTTCTCAATATGAGAAAGTTGACTAAATATGTTTTTGTTAATCACAAAGTCGTGTCCAACCCATCACAACTCCATGGACAACATTCCTCCAGGCCTTCCTGTCCTCTACCATCCCCCGAATATGAGTATACATGAATATAACTTTGAATGTGAGACTTTGACTAAATGGTGCATTTTTTCATTACTGCTTGCAAAATATCTGCAAACACTGCAATCCCCCAAAATGTTAATTTATGTTACAAATAACATTAGTGAACAAAAGCAAGAGTAAAATATTAGAACCCCACTGTTAATAAACTACTATTGTAATTCAACTTGCAGGAAGTTTACTACAGCTTATCTATCTCCAATCATCCTCACAGTTAACTCTGATTCATCCTGAGAGACCGCCTCCTGCCAATCACCTCCCATAGACCGATTTGATCACACAGGTTAGGTCTCCTCCGGATTCCATCTGCCAGCCAATGTTGGCTGGCGACTCCCCGGGGGAGAGCCTTCTCTATTGCAGCGCCAGCCCTCTGGAAGATCTCCTCGTGGAGATCCGGACCCTTACTACCCTCCCGGCCTTCCGCAAAGCTGTTAAGTCCTGGCTGCTCCAGCAAGCCAGGGGGCTCTCGCAATATTCAGCCCCCCCCGGAGATTGTGACTGTTGTATATTTTAATGTTGTTGTGTATTATTCCCCTCCCTTGTTTTATTGTAAGCCACCCGGAGTCCTTCGGGAGTGGGCGGCATACAAATCAATAAAACTATGAACTATGAACAAAAAACTAACTATCCTGGATTAAATATCCAGGATTGTTTCTTAATGCCATCTCTTTTCAATTGTTGTCCAGTTAAATATATTAGATCCATTCTCCAAAGTTGATCTATATTCCCCAAAAAGTCCAATTGAAGTTGTTTCTGAGTTGCATATGATAATCCATTCTCCAATCCCCTTCATTTGACCATTCAGTCAATTTTCTGCTATTGTAAGAGTGTGAAAGCCTGAAGGCATTGCATTATGCAAGCATGCATAATAATCCCCTCAGGGGATTTATAGATCTAAAATTTATAACATTTCAGGTCTAAATTTATAACATCTGTACCTCTTTTAATATCTTTCACCGAATCTACTGCTTTTAAATCCAATTCCTTTTGTGAATCTAATTTAACTCCAATTACTTGCATTTGGATAGGTTTCTTTGGAAGCATTATTTTGTCAAATTGTTTAAAAAAGTTTTCAAGTTGGATTTGTGTATAACCAAAAGGTCCTGTTGCTTTGGCATAACTTGACAACAGAAGGATAAAGCTTCTCAGAGACAGGGAGGATATATGTCAACATAGAGAGGCTATGAGACTATTTCAATCCAGATTAAAAAAGATTTTTGAAAAAATAATCTTCAAAGTATAGTAAAGGTACAAAATAGATGTAAATCAAATCCAAACACTTATTACTTCAAGGCATGTCTTGTTTTTCTTATGACAAGGAATATTGAAAAAAATCAAAAAAAGATCAAAGGCAAAGAACAAGAAAGAAATAGATAAAATCCAACAGGGGTTAAAATAAATCAGCATTCAACCAGCTGGTCAACTTTTAGAGATAAGAAACAAAACAAAACAAACTTTTAAAAAGGTAGTTGAAACCCACATGTGCTTAAGAGAATGGTCTGCCAAAAGGAAAAAGATGGATGACCTGGTTTTCTGCCACTCCTACTTGGAATAGTAATCTTTAAGATTCCTTATCCCAGGTGAGTCCACTTTTGTCCAAAGACAATCTGGGTCACTCCTAGGTGCTCCTATTCAAATCCAGGGAGCAAGGCCATCAAAGAACCAGCTTTTGGTAGCAAAATCAGCAGATCATCAGCAGGAGAGAAAAATCTCCCTACTGCTTGTCAGCCATCTTGGGGAGGAGCTCATTGATTGATCCTGAAAAGGTAAATAGAATCTGGTTTGGTTTGTTAACAGTTTTGGAGACCATCAAAAAAGTTTTTGGCTCTATATGAAAATCAGCATTAAAAAAAAACACCCCAAAAGCCAATGGCAAACTACTACTGTAGTTACCAGGAAATCTCCATGGATGTATCTCTAAAGTCACCAGAAATCCAGTTCAATGTAAAGGTGCTTTGATCTGTATCCTACAAATCACACTTTGAAAATGTGGATTCGGGACATTGGAAGCCCCTTTCTCTAAGAATAAGATCATTCAGTTCATCTGAACCTGGCTTTCTCCTAGACTACCTTCTGACTCCATTAATCCAATTTGTAATCAATAATTTCATCTCACTTGCAGACATTCTGCAATACCAATAGGGCATGGAAATAAATAGTGAAACCCAACCTTGCACACTGTCATTCTTATCGGTTTACTTTACTTAAGCTATTTTTTGTGCATTCAGATAGAAATCTCAGCAAAAAGAAAATTGTTTGTCTGCATGCATCTTTATTTTGTCTATATTCTGCATGGAACAATTCATGAACAAGGCAGTCTATTCAGTGTGGAATACAGAGTCATTTCACAATTTTTCTCTTTAAATATAAAAAAACTTTGAATAATTCATTGTACAGCAGGAAATATGTGAAAAAATGACATTTTTTAAAAATTTTAGAACATTTCTGATTAACAGAAATACTTTCTAGATTGCCCTTAAAATATAGAAAGTTTTATAAGTGTTGCTATTGTTGTTGAAAGCTACAAATATTTCAGGTTTTTTTTCCTAATCAGGTAAGAGACATGGAATATGCTTGAGATGATGCAATATTGAAAAATGTTTTGATTGAGAGTTTACTCCCAAACTTAGGACACTGGCTCTAAAATCAGTTGCTTTTCAGTCTAATTCATAATAGCCTTCCAAATGTTCATAGTGCAATCTGATATGCAATAGATATCATAAAGAAATCATTAACCTACAGACTTGATGTACTGGTTGTTAATATTTGTCTGTGCTTTCCAACCTTGCTTATCCTATTCAAATGGAACTCCTGGAGTTCATTCAACCTAAACAGTTCCCCAGAGGATAGGCTGTCTAAATATGCCCCACTCCCACAGCTCAGCTACTAGGGTACATGGGAACCATATGTGGGGAAAGAAGTCTTCTACTATGTGAGTCCTAAGTTTCAGTCTGGTTCCTAATGGACCACATGAATCCCATCTCCAAGGTAAGTAAGAGAGGAAAAAAATGCATCTTGCCATCATTTTTCATGAGCGGTTTGTCCTAGTGTGACTTGCCCCTAGTCACCTAGCTGATTTTGTGCGTAAAGCAGGATTAGAACTTGTGTTTTCCCAGTTTCCAGCCTGCTTCCTGGTTTTTATATGCAAGTTGGAGCTGTGTATGCATATCAGGAGAAACATAATCATCAGTTGCATATAGTAGTAATTAAGTGCTTAATTATTACTGTAATACAGATAGTCTTTGACTGAAAATTGCTAAGCTAGGCCAGTAGAGGAAGCAAGGAAAGTAGAGGAAGAAGATGGCAGGTAAGATAAATGAATGGAGTCAAAATTGCAGAAATGTCTTTGAAAGATGTAAAATTTACCATGAGTCAGATTAAGATGGCAAACATTTAACTAGGCCTTTTACCAGGTGTGGTATTCTGCTATATTTATCTTACTCATACTCAATATTGTCATTAAGAGCTGAAGGTGCTTAACATTTACAAACACTTGATTTTTTAAATTAAAAATGTTCATTTTTATAAAGAGCATTACACATTATTGCCATTTTTACCTTAAAAACAAAGTTTATTTAAAGTTATCAGTATATTTAATTGTTTAGGCATTTGATCTTTAAGATTTTTTTTTTTCAATTTTGTTCTTAATTTTTATGTCTGGTCAATGGGAAATGACATTATCCTTTTTTCTTCTCGTATCACCTTTTATTTTTGGCCTCGACTCAATAGCCGGGCATAACCAAACGTTCCTTAAATTCACATTTTCCTTTCCCACACTAAATTAGAACAGAGCACATTTCTTTCTTATAATGGCTGAGGCATATATGGAAAGCATTGGACTAGTTGGGATTCTATTCCAGTTCATCAAGGATTTTCTCCTGGACACTCTCATGACATTATCTGGACTGACTTCAGGAGATCTGGGGCTTATGGTTTAAAAAATAGTAGCCAAGTGTTACACATAAAAATAGCAAAAAGCTTCAATTGCATGTCACCACTGCTCTTTTCACTTTTTTGATTGCACCCTGTGGACACTGACATCTCAAGACCTTATTTCTTATTTTCTGGTAGCATTTGGGCCAAATACACTACAGGAGGGGAAAATATTAGCAGAACCATGCATGTGCCAGAGACACAGAATCTGACATAATTTATTTTCACAGAAGATCCTGGGCATGCAAAATGTGATGGAAGGTGACTAACTGCTTGTTTTTATATACCCATTTTGCTGCTGCTGCTGTTTGCTTCATGGAATGGTGTACATATTGCAAGCTCTAGATCCGTGTCATAAAGGACATTGTCCTGGACCTTTAAGGGCACGAACCGAGGTGGGCCAAAAACTAACTGTGGGAACAGTCCTCCAGATCTTTTCTTGGATTTCCAGGGCAGTTATTTTTCTTTCCTTTTTTTTTTGCATGCCGATCACTTGTTAAAACAATTGTGTGCGTCATTTTAAATCCAACATTAGAGAAGCATTAGATCAACCTTTACCGCGTGGTTCTCTTTCCAAGTTGCCCACAAGAAACCGAGGATTAGGAAGCAGCTTCAGCTCTTGACGCACAGGAACCAAAGCTGCGCTCCTTCGGGCCGAATTCTACCCCCGCTTTCCGGTGGAAATCCAACCCCAAACACCGTCTCCAAGAGCCACCCGGTTGCTGAGCCGAGGATTGCGCTCTGACGAAACTTTGCGCCGGTCAAACCCGCCCAGCCTGCCAACCCCAGCCCGCCCCGCACCAGCCAGCGGGAAGAACCCGCCTGTCAGCCTGCCTTGTGACCGGAAGGGCCGGGGAGCCGCCCCCGGAGGAAGAGCCAGCTGCAGGAACGCACGGCGCTGGCAAGAGAGCCGCGGATTTCCCGGGGATCCGGCGGGGAGCGGAGGCGGCGGCGCCGGCTGGCCTCCCCTGAGCGGAGGCCTCGGCGGACGGCTTGGGAGGAGAGGCGGGGGAGCGGTGGCAGGTTGCATCTCCACTTCCACTCCTGCGCCCGACCTGCTGTTTTCCTTCCCCTTCTCCTCGCTTTCGCCTCCGGCCTCTTCCCATGACCGGTGTAGCAGCCCCCAGCCCGGGCGCTTGACCCAGCCTGGAGAGGGGCGTGCGTGGCGCAGAAGTCCGGCCTGGCCAGGGTAGGGGGGCGCTGGAAACGAGAGGATGCGAAACGCCACGTCCCACCCATCTTCCGTGGGCGAGGAAGCAGGAAAGGACGGGATCCTGCCAAGGCTGGCTTGAGCCTGGAGGAATTAAAGGAGGGTGATTTGAAGAAGAGCTGAGGCTTCGCTCATGGTAAGGATGGAGCACTCAGTGGAGACCCAGGGGAGCCGAAATAGGTAGATCTCCTTCAGGTGGAAGATGAGAGTTGGCAGGTGATCTCTTGTGCCAAATCCCTCCGTGGATACAATAAAACTGAAGTGACAGCCGGTGCAAGAGTTATTGCTCCGTTTTTGAAAGAGAAAGAATTAAACCCACAAAAGACCTGCTGTTGCTCTTGAAAATGACAATAATTTGGGATGATTTATTTAATGTATATTCTGCCTTTCCTGCAGAAGCTCAAAAGGATATTTCCCACCTCCACACACACACCCTCCCCAATGATCCTATGAGTTGGGTAGGTCTGGGAGAAGATGTCTGATCTAAAGTCATCCATGAGTTTGGGCTTAAGGTGGGCTGGAACCCCATTTCTAGTCCCACATCTTAACCCCTGCATTCAAGCTATTTACAAAGTATCCAGAATCTTGATGTTTTCCAGATGTATTTGATTATAGCAGCTGAAGTTAAGAGGTGCAAGGCCAGCAGACATCAGTTGAGAAAAAAATGCCTTAAAGACAGGCATTATTGAACAATTATTGAAGCAGTGCCATTTTAAAGGCATGGTAGAATCCCTAAGGAAGATGCTGTACTTCATTGTGGTTACCAAGATTTCTGAATATATATCCTTATATAGCCTTATATTTCCCAATTAAACTATATTAGGATGCTTGCTTTAAAGGTTTATTTAGGGCTCCATATGGTTCCATTGTTACTTTTATTTTGTGCATTATAGCAAATCAAGTTACATACAGACTTATTAATATTTAAGTGCGTTTATTTAAATGCATTTTACATTTTTTACTTATTCTTACAACATCCCCATAAAATAGATTAGTATTCTTCCTTTGTACATGAGGCTGAGACTGAAAGAGTTTTATTTGTAGATATAATGAAATTATATATTTTAAATCATAATCTTAATTGTAATTTCCCACTTTGGTTACTTGTATATTTGTGGTAGTAAATAAAGATTGAGTATTGAGGAAGAGGAAGAAATTAAAAAGTAGGTGCAATCATTCAAAAACATGTTAATCAACTTAATTAAATATTATTTAGAATTTTTTGGATTTTTTTAGATCTAAATATAGTGCAAAGTTACATTCTTATAAATTTTGTTTACATAATTAGAATGTTGGTTTCATCCAAATAGGAGGAAAGGTAGGTCATTGTGCCTCTGAAAAATGTAATGCAAATTAGATGATAACCATGTTTTGTAAAATCTGTTCTAAAAGAAAATGGCTTAATCTACAAGCTGTTATGACTGTTCAGCCAGTGGTCTTTTTATTACAGTGTCTACAACTGCAGACACCAATGTGAAGAAGGATTAAAGCCTGTCCAGTATGATGAGAGTTACTTTTAAATAAGCATACTTAGATTGCACTGTTTATAAATAATGCAATATTGCCAAGAATACTGAAAACTGGCAACTTAAATTCTACAGAATTTATCAACCATGAAAATAGAGCATATCTGAATAGGACTGAACTGGGGAAGGATACTTGTCTTGCACAGTGGCCTATAGTATCCTTCCAAAAATTTGGAATGAAAATAACATTTCTCTTAGGTAACTGTGGCACAGATGTGGTGAGACCAGTGCTAGATGGTATTAGCATACCGTGCTGAGCCATCAACTTGTTGTGATTGGACATGAGTTCTGGTAATTCTCATGATGATAACTTCTTGAGGACTTCTTGAGAAGATGGAAATAGGCTCCAAGGTCTTGGGTGCTAAGCAGTCATGAAACTGGCATCTGTTTTATTATTTTGAGGGATCTGTCTTCTAGAGCAGTGTGTATTTATGTATGTATTTACTTAAATTTACAGGTACAATTTCTATGGCTGTCGAAGCTGCAAATGCAAGAGTTCAATTGTATTAAAATAGTTGTCTTCAGAAATTTATTCCTCAGCAGTTTGTTTGGTGAACAGGTATTGTGAAAATTGACAATTTCATACCATTAAAGTTTTAAAGAGTGGGGAAGCCTGGCATTTTGAATGATGAAAAGACAATGTAGCTTTCAACCCAGAAGTCCAAAAATCCAGTTTCTTTCTTTTTATTTATTAATTTAGTAGGCCATCTTCTGGAAAGCACAATGAGTGTCAAAGCCTTCAAGCTTGTTCCCGCAGTTGAGTGGGAGTTGCTGACGGGTGACAGATCTCGAATCCATATCGAATGTGTGGAGTGCTGTGGACGAAACCTCTACATTGGAACAAATGAGGGCTCTATCTGCCATTTTCTCTTGGAGGAGAAAAATCCCCCTTCTGAAAAAACACCTTTTTCTATTTCCAAGCAGCTGCATAAGAATCTCAGTTGCCGGAAGGCTGTGGGAGAGTTGAAAGCAGCTTCTGCACTTAACAGACTTCTGGTGCTCTGTGACAATACCATCACTTTAATGAACATGATGAACTTGGAACCCATCTCCACTGGGGCCAGAATCAAAGGAGCCCTGATGTTCACATTGAATGAGAACCCTGTGAATGGGGATCCATTCTGTGTGGAAGTGTGTATTGTTTCAGTGAAACGGAGGACCATCCAAATATATTTGGTCTACGAGGACAAAGTACAGATTTTGAAAGAATGTTGCACGCGAGAACAGCCTTCTGCTGTAGCGGTGGATGGCTATTACTTATGCCTTGCTCTCACTAGCCAATATATTATACTGAACTACAATACTGGAGCTTCCCAGGAGCTCTTTCCTTATACTGGTGAACCAGTTGTGAAAAGAATAGGCAGGGAAGAGTTCCTGTTGGCTGCACCTGGGGGTTTAGGTAAGCTTCTTTAGCTCATTATTTGGGAACTTTTGCTTTACCTTTTCTTAACCCTTCCTCCTCCTGCATAGAAATTTTGCAAGACTTCTGCAAAAAAAAATTGCAAAATCAAAATTCACAAAATGCTGATATTAGGCTGGATTGCTGTCTTATCATTCAAAATACCCAGAGTTAGTTAGTTGTTCATTTAGGAAAGTACCTCTCCTTGTGGAATTAGTAATTAGCAACCTGTGCAGGATTTTATTTGTGTCCATTCCACATTTTTGTGACAAGTACACCTTTCTGACTTCTAACAATAAGAGCAATCCAAAAAAGAAATGGATTATTGTATTAAATAAAGTAGTTAGTTCTAAACTGTCATTGGTTATTTTCTGAATCTAAAATCCTTAACATTCTGCAAAAGAATCAAGGTAGCACTAATAAAATGGAGTAAAAATATAAAAGAGCAAATAGATAACTTTGTTAGATATCATCTAAAAGATGTCACTAAATGTTTTTAATGTTACTTTCATAGAATAGTAGCATTTCTACTATGGGTATTAATTTAAAAATAGAATTTTGGCTTCAAAATTCTGATTTGCTTGAATTTTCTGAAAGGTAATTATTTCCATTTTTATGAAACTGTTCTTCATAAATAGAATAAGAATTCTTGGTATGAATTTCTTATTTAAGTATGCAAAAACTTGTGTATTGTTAAAACATGAAATGTGTGATCTGACTGTTTTATTAACCAGATGAATAGCTTATGATGATATAAAGAGAAGAATCTTCAATTGTCTTTTTTCTATTGATAAATGCTACTGTCTGGATTTTATCATTAGCTATAGCCTGTTTTTTATATGATGCAAGAAATGCTGGGTTAATTGTGATTGCTAAATAGTTCCCTTGAAAAGTAAGTACTAGTGAACTCCATGGCACTTATTTCCGAAGAAAAACTGCTACTTAAGTGACAAATTCATGCTGACAGTAAGAACTGTTATTAAAAATCTTTCTGACAGTGAAATGAACTGCTTCAAGAGGATGTAGGCAGGTCTTCATTGCTAGTAGCTGAGTTGGGTGGCCATTTGCTAGGGATAATATAATTCTTTCATTGAGCAGGGGATAAGCAAGTAATAACTAAGATCCTTCCAACTTTGTGCTTCAAAGTGAAATTTAATTCTAGCAATAAGAATTAACCAAAGCATAGAGAGAGTGACTGAACTGTGGCAATAGAGTCTCTGTATTGTGATCTTGCATTAAATGTAGAAGTCCGTAGATGCAGCCATACTTTATGGAAAGCCAATAGCTCTGTCAGCAAGGAAACAAGATAATTTTGGAAGATTGTTTGTCAGTATGCAATACAATACAATAGCAGAGTTGGAAGGAACCTTGGAGATCGTCTAGTGCAACCCCCTGCCTAGGCAGGAAACCCTTCCAGACAAATGGCTATCCAACATCTTCTTAAAGACTTCTGGTGTTGGGGCATTCACAACTTCTGGAGGCAAGCTGTTCCACTGATTAATTGTTCTAACTGTCAGGAAATTTCTCCTCAGTTCTAAGTTGCTTCTCTCCTTGATTAGTTTCCACCCATTGCTTCTTGTTCTACCCTCAGGTGCCTTGGAGAATAGTTTGACTCCCTCTTCTTTGTGGCAACCCCTGAGATATTGGAACACTGCTATCATGTCTCCCCTAGTCCTTCTTTCTATTAAACTAGATACACCCAGTTCCTGCAACCGTTCTTCATATGTTTTAGTCTCCAGTCCCCTAATCATCTTTGTTGCTCTTCTCTGCATTCTTTCTAGAGTCTCCACATATTTTCTACATCGTGGCGACCAAAACTGAATGCAGTATTCCAAGTGTGGCCTTACCAAGGCATTATAAAGTGATATTAACACTTTACGTGATCTTGATTCTATCGCTTTGTTTATGTAGCCTACAACTGTGTTGGCTTTTCTGGCAGTTGCTGCACACTGCTGGCTCATATTTAAAAGGTTGTCCACTAGGACTCCAAGATCCCTCTCACAGTTACTACTATTGAGCAAGGTACCACCTATAGTGTACCTGTGCATTTCGTTTTTCTTGCATAAATGTAGAACCTTACTCTTTTCACCATTGAATTTCCTTCTATTAGATAGTGCCCAATGTTCAAGTTTGTCAAGATCCTTATGTATCTTAAGCCTGTCTTCTGGAGTGTTGGCTATTCCTGCCAGCTTGGTGTCATCTGCAAATTTGATGAGTTCCCCATTTATTCCCTCATCCAAATCATTGATGAAGATGTTGAAGAGTACTGGGCCTTCCCTCCATGTAGATGCAGTTCCATTGAGAACTACACGTTGAGTGTGGTTGGTCAGCCAGTTACGAATCCATCTGGTGGTGATGCTGTTCAACCCACATTCTTCTACTTTATCTAGTAGTAGGTTATGGTCTATCTTATCAAATGCTTTACTGAAGTCCAAGTAAACTATATCAATGGCATTCCTCTGGTCCACTAATTTTGTCACTTTGTCAAAGAATGCAATAAGATTAGTCTGGCATGATCTGTTTTTGACAAACCCATGTTGGCTTTTGGCTATTACTTTGTTTACTGCTAGGTGTTCGCTAATTCGTTGCTTGATTATCTTTTCCAGAATCTTTCCTGGTATTGAGGTCAGGCTGCTAGGTCTATAGTTTCCTGGATCTATTTTGTTTTCCTTTTAAAGATGGGAACATCAGCTTTTTTCCAGTCCTCTGGCAGTTCCCGGGTGCTCCAGGATCTCTGAAAGATATAGTTCAGTGGTTCTGATATCTCGTCTACCAGTTCCTTCAGAACCCCGAGATGTAATCCATCCAGTCCTGGTTATTTGAACTCATCTAGGGTAGACAGGTGCTCACTTACCATTTTCTTCCCTATTTCAACATGTGTTCCTAATCTGATTTTTGTGGTGCTGTTTTTGATAGGTTGGACTGTTTTATCCCTTTGTGTAAAGACAGATGCAAAAAATGAGTTAAATAGTTCTGCTTTCTCCCTGTTGCTTGTCACTTTCTTGCCACTTTCTTCCAGCAAATAATTGTGCAAATAATTAGTATGCTACAATTCTGAAGCCTAAAATTACAGAACAGAATAGGAACATCTGATGCACTTCTTCAGGTGGCAGAATATATTTGGGTCATTCTTGGAAATTATCCATGTAACCTTTTCCAGCAGGTATACATACAAACAACAGCTTTGAATTCAGGGTGAGAAAGTTCTAATTTCTTCTCTTTATACATTGGCAGGTATGTTTGCCACTGTGGATGGCATTTCCCAGCGGGCTCCTGTTCGCTGGTCCGAAAAGGTGATTGGGGCTGCCCTCTATTTTCCCTATGTAATTGCTCTCGATGAAGAATTCATTACTGTGCACAGTATGCTGGACCAGCAGCAGAAGCAAACCTTACCCTTTAAGGATGGGCATATCCTACAAGATTTTGAAGGTATGCAAGAGGGAGAGAGTCAATCTGGTCTAGCGATTGAAGTGCTGGGTTAAAAGGTGGGAGACTCTGGAGTTTTATCCTGCCTTGGGCACAATAACTGTTCAGAGTTGCTTGATAGTGAAATGGGTGACCTATAAATTTAATAAACAACCAACCAATCAGTTGGTAGGCTGTATCCCTGGTCTTTCTCTCAGGCCTAGGAATATAGTAATTAATGGCAAGTCACTTCCAAAAATGTTGCAGAAAACTACAAGGACTTGTCTCTAGGAGTCAAAACTGTTTGATTTAGAGGACCCAGAATCTGCCTTTATTTCTTTTATATTGATTGGTTTGTTGTGTAAGACACTAAATATCACAAGTACTTTTTGCTAACTGCTGCATGAAGCTGCTGTTTGTGTTGGCAATCATATATAAATAACAGGAAAACCTCAGCAAATCTGAATTGTTGTAAACTGGAGTTTCATTTCCTCATCTAAATGGATGAAAGGAAAATTATTTGTGAAAGATCAGCAAATATTTGTGACCATAAAGACCTTCTGAATAACTGCTGGCACTTATATCTGGCATCCTTGAAATGGTGAAAGAGAGTTAATCAGCCCTAGCGGAAATTATATTTTTACCATTTGAATTTGAGAAAATGGCTGTCTTTTTGGACACGGTGGCTCAGTGGCTAAGAAGCTGAGGTTGTCGATCAGAAGGTTGGCAGTTCAGAGGTTTGAATCTCCAGTGCCGTGTAATGGAGTGAATGCCTGTTGCTTGTCCCAGCTTCTGCAAACCTAGCAGTTCGAAAGCATGAAAAAATGCAAGTGGAAAAATAGGGACCACCTTTGGTGGGAAGGTAACAGCGTTCCGTGCACCTTCGGTGTTTAGTCATGCTGGCCACATGACCACGGAGACCACTTCAGACAGCGCTGGCTTTTTGGTTTTGAAATGGAGATGAGCACCGCCCCCTAGAGTCGGGAACAACCAGCATATACACTATATTGCCAAAAATATTCGCTCACCTGACTTTACTCGCATATGAACTTACTGTAAGTGACATCCCATTCCTAATCCATAGGGTTCAATATGATGTTGGTCCACCCTTTGCAGCTATAACAGCTTCAACTCTTCTGGGAAGGCTGTCCACAAGGTTTAGGAGTGTGTTTATGGGAATTTTTGACCATTCTTCCAGAGGCGCATTTGTGAGGTCACACACTGATGTTGGATGAGTTTACGTGGCCTACCACTTCGTGGCTGAGTTGCTGTTGTTCCCAAACACTTCCACGTTCTTATAATACAGTTGACAGTTGACCGTGGAATATTTAGGAGCGAGGAAATTTCACAACTGGATTTGTTGCACAGGTGGCATCCTATCACAGTTCCACACTGGAATTCACTGAGATCCTGAGAGCGCCCCATTCTTTCACAAATGTTTGTAAAAAACAGTCTGCATGCCTAGGTACTTGATTTTATACACCTGTAGCCATGGAAGTGATTGGAACACCTGATTCTGATTCTTTGGATAGGTGAGCGAATACTTTTGGCAATATAGTGCATGTGTGAGGGGAACCTTTACCTTACTGTATAGTATTGGAAATATTTATTTTTCCTTTAAAAGAATAAATGTATTTTTCTCATGCTTTGCTTTGTAAATTGGACATTTTGCTTTGTTTTTAAATTTAGGGAAAGTAATTGTAGCTACTACCAAAGGAGTATACTTCTTGGTCCCACTGCCTCTGGAAAAACAAATTCAAGACCTTTTGGGCAGCCGAAGAGTTGAAGAAGCACTAGTGTTAGCAAAGGGAGCCGAAAGGAATATTCCAAAGGAGAAATTTCAGGTCTGCCTCTGAATTTAAAACATCTCTGACTGTACTCAGATGACTATGAAGTTAAAATGTACTTTTGTGTGTTTGTTAACGTATTATTTCTTCAAAAGATAGATCTAGGCAAGGACGTACAAAATGTTTTGAATTTGAATATTTTATTTTTAAGCAAGAATGTTATTTTGCTTTGAATATGAAATGGGATACTTCCAGTATGTACATCCAAGCGTGCTTTGAGTTCAGAAAAGTCTGTTACAAGTTCAAAAGGTTTTTTTTTTTTAATATTGTAAAAATATTTTATGTGTGAAGCAGTCTCTTTGCTCTTCGACGTAAACTATTTTATGCTTGGGTGTGTGGGGGTGTCTTGTGAATATTTAAATTGTTCAAATTTGAAATGTTTTACACTGTGGTAATCCTGGGAGTGCACTTAAGTGAATTCCACAGCTCTGTGGTTAAATTAGCCATATCAGGAGTGATGAACTGCACTATGGTATTGTAATTGTAGTGAACATTTTAACAATTGTTAAAAAAAACAAACACATCTTGGAACATCTTGTCTTACCCTTGAGCTAAATGTTTTTACCTGAAAACAACTTACTGACTTCATCAAGTCTTGTTTACCGATCCAATGTATTCATTTGGCATACTTACAAGTATTTATCAAAGATAGTTCACATATTTGAAGCATGGTACACACTGTTTTTGATATCCCACTGGTTTTCCTGCATTGGTAAAGGCATCCAATTGCTTTGCCTTCCAGTATGTGATTTTATCATGTTCTTTTGTCCTGAGCACAATCAAAGAATGGGATCTTTGTCTAAAAGCTTGCAAATTCAAAGATGCAAAAAAAGAAATAGTTGGAAATTGGAGGCAAGCAAACTTGGGGAACCAGTTATTCCTGAAATTCTTCTGATAACCAGCCTAAATTAAAGGAATTGAAGTGCCCAATAGAGTTAATATCTCAGCAGAACTAATAAAATCATCCTGTAGGTCTGCAGTACTAAATAGAATGCAGTTGCTACTATGATTACTAAGAAATTGCTTTTTAATTAGCATGCAATTTGGTAGTGCATATGGTTAGACAAATATTATTACAGTATTAAAAAGGCAAAATATACATTAGATTCTATTCAGTAGAGAAATGAAGGTAGTCCTCGATTTACACAAAATTTATGTGGTTAAGTGAGACATTTGTTAACTGAGTTTTACCCCATTTTACCCCATTTGCCACAGTCCTTCAGTGAATTACTGCAGTTGATAATAACCCAGTTGAATCTGGTTTCCTCATTCACCTGGCTTGTCCGAAGGTCACAACAAATGATCACATGACCCCAGGAGACTGCCACCGTCATAAATATGAACCAGTTGAACTAAAATTCAGTATCTGAATTTTGATCACATGACTATGGGGATGCTGCAAAGGTCATAACTGTGAAAAATGGTCACAATAAATCACTTTTTTCAGTGCCATTGTAACTTTGAATGGTCATTAAATGAACTGTTGTAAGTTGAGAACTACCGTATTTTTTGGAGTATAAGATCCACCTTTTTTCCTCAAAAAAGAGGTTGAAAATCTGGATGCGTCTTATACATTGAATACAGCATTTTTTGCCTCCCGAAACCCTGCCCGCTTCAACAAAATGGCCATGCATACCCTTATGGAGGCTTTCAGAGAGGCTCCTGGCGGCTGGGAAGAGCAGAAATGATCAGAAAATGGCCATTTCCCCTCCCCCCCAGCAGCACTCTATAAGCCTCCATAAGGCTATGCATACATTTTGTTTTTTGAAAAAAAAAGGGGCTGTTTTCACGAAAATCGGGGCGTTTTTTGCTCGTTTTTGACCCCCCACCCCCAGGAGCATTCTGCAAGCCCCCCTCTCAAGGCTATTCATGCTTTTTTTTGAAAAAAGAAACGGGTCTGTTTTCGTGAAAAATGGGCTGTTTTTGGGAGGTTTGCAAAGTGCAAAAAAAAATTTTTTTCCTTTTGCAAAGCTCTTTAAATGATTGATGAGAATTACATTGATCAAGTGCTGTGCCAGCAGAAACAGCTACCTATCTACTGTATTTCTCTCTATCTCTATTTCTCTCTCTCTATCCCTCTATCTACCTACCTACCTACACACTCTCCCTACCTACCTACTGTATTTCTATATCTCTCTATTTCTCTCTCTATCCCTTTATCTATCTATCTATCTATCTATCTATCTATCTATCTATCTATCTATCTATCTAACTAACTAACTAACTAACTAACTACTCTCTTTTTCCCTACATATCTACTATATTTCTCTCTCTCTCATTCTATTTCTCTCTATCCACCTACCTTCCTACCTATGCTCTTTCGCTCTCTCCCTACCTACCTACTGTATTTCTCTATTTCTCTATCTCTTTCTATCTATCTCTCTATCCCTTTATCTACCTACCTACCTAACTACTCTCTCTACCCACCTACCTACTCTATTTCTCTCTCTTTCTCTCCCTCTCTATCTATCTACCTATCTACTTTTTAAAAAAAAAAATGCCTGTTCAAAACCTTGGTGCGTCTTATATTCCGGTGAGTCTTATACTCTGAAAAATACGGTACCTGTAACAACATTAGTCATTTTAATTTAATTTGATACATGCATTCCAATTGTATGGCTTTAGTCTTGGTGTGCCATGGTAAACATGCTTATCTTCTTCCAGAAAAGGGAAGCCTGGGTTTTGAATGTGTAACAAAGTTCAGTTACAATAGTTTGACTACCTTTATATTTGATAGAGGGTATCTATCGAGAGTAGTTTGTAGGATTAATCAAGCTTATGCTTGAACTAGTGAAAGGACTAAATAATTGAAAATGGTTAATTATTGTATGGCCATACAAATATAATTAGAACAGTTTAAAATATTGGGTCTTAATTCAGATTTTTTTTTTGTTCTCTATTTCCCTTTAATAAAGACCGCTAGTGATATAAATTGATTAATTTATTAATGTGTGCTTCTGAGTGCCTAGAACTTTTGGCAAGCATTTCACGGGAGGAAGAATATGCATCCCAGATCTTAAAATTGCAAATGCACATGTTTTGTGGCATGCATGTGTGAAACTTTTTTTCCAACATGTGTTCATTTTCCAAGACAGTGTTTTTCATCCTTGGCAACTATAAGATATATGGATTTCTACTCCCAGAATTCTCCAGCTAGCAGGTTAGCTGAGGAATTCTGGGATCTGAAGTCCATGCATCTTAAGGTTGCCAAGGTTCAGAAAGAGTGCTCTAAGATTTGTAAGTACACTTAATACTTTAGTGCTATTTCCCCCATAAGAGTGGTTCTCCAGAAGAATCTTCATTTTAATGCATAATTATAGTACAGAAGTCATTTTAATGCCTTCTACTGCAACTACATTTTTTGGAATGTACTCAGGATTTTTTTTGAACTAGCTGGTGCCCAACTGTTGTGCTGTGCAATCCCAAGGTGAAAGGGCAATCCATTTCCAGCTCTTTCAATATATATCTCAGGGACACAATGTACAAATGACCTCTGAAAAGTTTTTTCTTCATTAGTCACTTTTTAGCATCTGCCTTTTTAACTTAAATTATTTTTTATTTGTTTCCTTTGCAGACAATGTACAAGCGAATTTTGCAGCAAGCAGGATTTATCCAGTTTGCACAGCTCCAGTTCCTTGAAGCAAAAGAGCTCTTCAGGTAATGCTGCTAAGGGGTAAGACACATTCTTGCAGTCTAGTTCAGTGTTTCTCCACCTTGGTGACTTGAAGATGAGTGGATGCTGCCTGTTGAATTATAAAACTGCAGTCCACCCATCTTCAAGTTGACAAGATTGGGAAATATTGGTCTAGCTCACTATTGCTTGATTAGGTCATAGGTAAACGTAAAGCCCCTCGCACATATGTGCTAGTCATTCCCGACTCTAGGGAGCTGTGCTCATCTCTGTTTCAAAGCTGAAGAGCCAACACTCTCCGAAGATGTCTCCATGGTCATGTGACCAACATGACTAAATGCCCAAGGTGCACAGAATGCTGTTACCTTCCCACCAAAGGTCATTCCTATTTCTCTACTTACATTTTTTACGTGCTTTCAAACTGCTAGGTTGGTAGAAGCTGGGACAAGTAATGGGAGCTCACTCCATTATGTGGTGCTTGGGATTCGAACCTCTGAACTGCCAACCTTTCTGATCGACAAACTCAGTGTCTTAGCCACTGAGCCACTATGTCCTTAATTAGGTTCATACACTTGGCTTTAAAAAAAATTAGGACAGTGGCCTGAAGCATTTAAAAAGCATAAGATTTAGTCAATGGACTAAATGAAATTGGAGCTGGTCTACAAGTGATATCCAAGGAAACAGACCAATCTTGATTCCTGTACATTGGGCTTGTGATAGGACTGTAAGTTTCAGCCTTTCTCATCTGCCAGGATATTCATTTGCTTTTCTTGTTGGATACGGTGGCTAGAGAGTTAATACAGAAATAAGATTGCATATTTGCTGCTCAAGCAGCTGAGTATGAGTTACT